TGTGCGGTGTGTGAATAGCCACTAGAGTTGACGTGCCCCTAAAAAACCAATAATAACTGATAGCATGTGCGGTGCGTGAATGGACAACTAGAGTTGATGCGCCCTTAGAAACCCAATAATAACTGATGACATTTGCGGTGCGTGAATAGCCACTAGAGTTGACGCGCCCTTAAAAACCCAATAACAACTGATACCATCTGTGGTGCGTGAATAGCCACTAGAGTTGACGCGCCCTTAAAAACCCAAAATAACTGATAGCATGTGCGTAGCGATCCATGCCCTTGTCCGTAGAATCTCGCGCTCCTCTGCGTTGGTACAATGTCGCTGCATCACCCCGTCGCCGAGATTTGGACCTGTTTCCAACCCGCGTTTTCCAGCCTTGTTGTGGCATGAAAATGTTACCGTTTTCCTGGTAAACAAATAAATGAGATAGTGGTAATGCTTCAGTGATACAACAATGTGGTGCCTGCCCCGCAGTGTGAATATATATATATATATATATATATATATATATATATATATATATATATATATATATATATATATATATATATATATATATATATATATATAGTCTGTCTTAGGCTGCCTATGCATTAAGCCTTCTTTGAAAAAATAATGGCACACGTTTTGTACAATTGTGCTTTTTGTTGCCAGAAGCTCCATTGCGCTATGATCGGTGGCTAAAAGACATAGGCCGATCAAACATGTCACTTATTGTGTTATCCAACGCATACGTCGTGCCTAGAGAACGGCAGTCTTGGTTTTGGGGTGCATCACATCACAACTGACGAAGGGAAAGTTTCTAGTCCACGGGACGCCCCATTCGGACCTTGGTCGGGGATTTCACCTTTCCGCCCTCCCCCCTCTTCCCTTGGAGACGCACAAAAGCGCCTTGACCGTCTATGGCAGCGCGGCACTGTGCCACGAGCTGCTGGTCTGGCTGTCTATACGAAGCTAGGCGTTGTGACATTGGCGCAGCCGAATATCAACATAGCTTTGCTGGTCAACGATACGTGAGCTTTAATGTACGCAGGGGCGTCCGCAGGGGTGGGGGAGAGGGGGGCCATATTGTCGCCTTACCTGAAAAATTGTTTTATTCTGCCGTTCATTCAGAAACTGGACGCAAAACACTTGAGTTACGTTCCGGACCTGGTTGAGCACCTTGCGGTTCGTTGGCGGCTGAAGTTCGCGCATGAGGATGCAGCGTGGAATACGGGCCAGTGCTTTGTGTTCGGCAATGACTTCCTTCCTCACATGTCTGAGCATGCCGTCTCTGCGGACAGCAGATGATTTTTTGTTCGCTGGCCGAGCAACTTGAAATCGTGTCGGACTTCTAATTTCGCGGTAACTCTCATGTGGATGTCCATCAAAAAATGTTGCAAAGCTAGCAAATCCGCGGCTTGCGCATGAGAACACACAACAGATTGTACAAAACAACGAACTCGGCAAGACAATTGTCATCTTTCTTTTCTATCAGAATATTCTCCTCCTTTCGCTTCGTTGTATCGCCGGACTGCCAAAATCTCGACCCGTTCGCAATCCGTCTTTTTCAACCTTTCTTGCCAAGGCAATTTTGCAATGTTGTAAGAGCAAAACTTGCCCCATGAAACAGCCTGCACACAAGCCCAGCAATTACGCAGTTCAACCTGTAAAGAATGGGGCTTCTTGTTACTGGTAGTTGCATGCACCTGCGATCAGCTGGTGCAGATATATTAGCCTCTAGAAAGTGCGGCCGCCGGGCCGGGTCGCGCCGCTCAAGCTCAAAATATTTGCAATGTTCAGCCAAGGCTCGCTGAGCCTGCTGCTTCACTCGTAATTAGGAGCTCCCGTAAGATTTCTCACAAAAGCAGCTTTATCGCAAGGCCTAAAAAACAAATACCTTCGGTGCGGGTGGGTGAGATCAAAGTAGAGTTTGTCGAGGAAATCTCGGCGTTGTACTAATGAGCAGAGGGATCGATGGCAGAATTTCACAACAATAGTTATTTTAGGTTGGACATCTGAGGTAAAAGGGAAATAGCTTGATAGCACGCCCCTGTCGTCTCTTCAGCGACTATGGGGCCACTTATTCTACTGACACCATCAACTCCTGTTCAAGCAGAAGGCTCTTGCGCACTTCGTGGGGCAGCTCCTGAGCAATTTCACGGGCAAACGATAGCGTTCCGTTACCACGTGTCATAGCGGGCAAATCACCGCATGACCGTACCTGGTCTACAGGGCCTTGGTTTGATAGCAATTATATCAAACGTAGTCTAAATGGTACACGCCCAATCAAGTAAGACGCACCTCATTTGTATTTTGAACTAGAAATGGCACTCTCCCTCTATCTCAAATGGTGTGCTCCACATTCATATTGGGCTTCGAACAGAGATAGTCATTTTGAATACAATTTAGTGCAGTTGAGAGCCATGCCCTTTTAAAATTTAAAGCCCTCTTGTTCCAGAGCTTGACGCCCGCAAGCTGGTCAAGGAATATTTTAAGGTCGCCGAAAACATGCATGGCGCCATAGTAGAAGCGTCACGCGAATACCGCCACCGAGTTGACCATGTAGCACTTAAGGTCAATAAAATATGATAATCGAATTATCCGTGTCTGGCGTGCGTCAAGACAATTCGTGTCATAAACGGACATCAGTTGGCTTTCAACCAATTGAATGCGCTATGCGCGAGTCTCGAACACGAATCACCTTTTATGCTGAATAGTGCAGACCTTTGGCAGTGGTACAAGGTACGGCGGCAGTATGACTGCGAATCGACTAATTTAAGAGCAATTATCATAAGAGCAACACCATAGCCGAGCATGTGAATGCAAGAAAAAAATCCCGAAAAACGTACAAGAACATCACGAGAGAGGGGCAAAACACGAGCGCAAAACAATACTCAGGTTCAGCAAACGCACAGCAGTAAACACCCCCACCTCTCTGAAAGTTGAAAGCACTACAAGGGAGCCAGCCCGCCCACTGCAGTGGCATTTCTGACGCGGTTGGTCTGGCAGTGACTCTAACGTCATACATATGCTCCATGACACAGTAAGACAATGACCTAATTAGGAACATATTTGCTAAGTAATGAAATGATGTCGCCTTGAGAAAACTTGTACACTTAAAGGCGAACCTTAGTTACAAGTAAACTTGTTTCGGTCATATTTGATGCGTGTCTCAATTTCTTCAAATTTGGAACATTCCCGTAAGCGTGTTTATTCATGACAGACGTGAATGGCAGATTTCCGGAAACGGAGAGCGGCGAAGGTCAATGTACAGTGAATGAATAAAACGGAATGTATGACATTCACGCAAGCAGACGCTGATACCGGCCACGTACTCAACTCTAGGAAATTCAGCTACTAGTGAGAAACTTTCCAAGTCCGTAGATTGGGCCAGAGACCCTTAACTTCGCCAACTTATGTGTCATTACGAAATATGTACCGTTCGCTTTCGAAATGCGCAGCAGGTTTCTGGTCTTTGTGTGCAGAGATATTATGGGGAAACCGATTTGCAGAATGTTGCAGGACATCAAAAACTATCTATCTAAGTAAACTGAAGATGGGAATCTTTTCTTATTTGTTGAGCGCTCAACAAACAGGAAGACTAAGTCCCTACATCCACCAGATTATTTGATGAAATAGTGCCTATCGCTAGCTCTTTGCCATCCTTGAATCAACGTTATTGCCTTGGCTGAAGCTCAGCGTTTGTCAGCTCAATTACAGCATCGCTGCAGTCAAATTAACCTGCGATGTGACACCTCAACTGTAACAAATGATGTCTGCAGACGTTAAACATTTCATGCTATTAGTTCTCGACAAAAGCGAGTCTACAGGTGTTGCCTTTTACCGGCGATATAAATGATGTATGCCGTTGCGATGGGTCGAACTGATTATCTGTTCATGTGTCTTAAAGGGAGTGTTCCACATTTGTATAGGGTTTTGGACTGAAACAGAGTGAAAATGTTGAGCATCTAGAAGATCATTCGATGCAGTTCACAGCCCTGCCCTTCTTAGAACCTAAACCCCTCTAGCTTCTGAGCCGCACGCTCACGAAGATGTGCAGACTATTTTGTGCGAACTATTTCCAGGTCACCCAGGCTTCTATGACAAATTATGTCATGCCATTGTCATGCGGCGATCGAGGTCAAGAAAAACTCAATTGTCCTGTCGTTCATATGTGTCGTTCGTGAACACGATTTCCAGCTGTCTTGCTCCGTCCGTCGGCTGGTTCTCAATCAATGTTGTGCAATGCATGATGGCGAAATTAAGGAGTGACAGACTGATGAGCATGTTTACTAAATAAATAGTTGTGTTATCTAGAGCAGCCTTCTTTACTTGAAGTATTCCAATAGTCATACGAGAGCTTATTTTATCATATCTGGTGCTTGCTTTAATATCTTCAAGTGTGGAACACTCGTTTTAAGGCATGGAATGTCTCGGCGCACTGCCTATCTGTTATAATGTGCCAATGTCTTTGGCAGTTTGGTCGGCTTGTTCATTGCCCCATGTACGGGTCAACCATCGCTCAATACGTTCAGCAGAGGCTGCCGGCATCTTTCGGCTTATTTTGACATTACTGCTAGGGAAGTGGAAATATTGTACTCAATACCGACGCAAATATAACAAGTTTATCGACCAACGTGCCTTATTTGACCAAGTGTGGTCACCATTGAGACGACGTAGTTTAATTGAAGGTCACGGACGTATTTCACGTGGCCCGCGGTGTGTTAGCTATCTAGTGACAGGGACACTGGGCCGAGGGCCCAGAGCATGAACTACGTCCGACCCCATTTGACCAATAGACAAGGCTGAGGTGGCAAATGGTCGGAGACGTGAGGTTGGGCATACATGCCGTGACGTTCCGCAGCAACTGAAGGTCACCTTCGCTGTCCTAGACATCGGGCCAGGCCAACATTGTCTGCTGGCCATTAGATGCACCGTGATGCTGCATCGAAACGTGAAGTGTACGTCTGGTGATAGCGCCGAACCAATCCTTATCGGCCGCCGTCGGGTTTCAGACATTGACAACAATGGCTACCTAGACAAGAATGACTTCGAATGCCTAGCAGTCCGCACCACAGTGATCGAGAGCAAGGGTGACTTCACACCAGAGAAGTACGAGGACAACCGCAAGGTCATGCGGAACCTGTGGAACGAGATCGCCGACCTTGCCGACTTCAACAAAGTACGTAGTAACACCGGTGTGGGCCTTCATAGCTATATCCTCGTCCAGCAGGCTCTTGGCGAACGCGTCGTGTTTCTTCTCATGAAACTTCACATACTGATGTCGCACTGGTATCGTGTAAATCGCTTGAAGTGTCAATGCGAGATTGATTTTGACAAAGTTCGTTATCACTGTTGATCGTAATTCCCTGCTGACGTGAGTTTGACTTATTTATTTACGTGGCCCATGATCCCCATTTCCCAAGTTTTGTTCTCCTCACCTCTTTGCATACACCATTTAGAGACCAACAAACAGCCAATTCACTTGTTGCAGGATGGGATGGTCACAGTTGATGAATTTAAAGCAGCCGTTAAAAAGGTGTGCGTTGGAAAGAACTACGCTGAGTTCCCACAGGCCTTGAAGGCATTCGTCAACAAAATTTTCGATTCCATCGACCTGAATGGTAAGAGCGCCAATGAGCCATGTATCAAATGAGATGTCTTCTAGCTGCCCCGATTGGAGACGTTGCTTTTAAAGTCGTGACTTTTAACGCACCTCCAAATTTAGATGCTTGAAGTCGGGAGAGAGGCAACTCATTTGAATCCATACTAAGCTACTTAGATGCTGATTGTAGAAACAAACATTTAAGCGTGCGTGGCTTGGGCGCTTTGACTAAATGAAGGTGACATCTGCTGTCCGTGTGGCTAAAACAGTACACGTCCGTCCGTCTCGTGGACAGTCACTGTATTCAGTGCCACATCTCTCGGCTAGTGGATCAATACTATTCGTAGCACTAATGACAATAAAACGTCATCCCGGCTATGACGCAGCATCACATTTGGTGACCAAGAAAGCTTTTCAATAACCCACACTTAACGCTTACTTCGTACGTTGTATCAGTCTGCTCGCCTTTTGTTATGCTCTGTTGTGCTTTGTTTGTCACCGGTTTGTTTTACATCCCGTAACTTGATTCCTCTTCTTTTATATTTCTTTTCGTTTCTCATTTCAATTCTATTCACACCGTCGCTCGGAGTGAGTGGCGACGTCGCCTCTCTGTCCGCGTGTTGTGTGTGTGCGTGTGTGCGCGTCTGTCTGTCCGCCTTTCCGTCTGAGGCCGACCGGCTGGCTGGGCGCCTGCTCGGCGGCGGCCGGTGCTCCGGCGGCTCCACGACCGGTGCTCCGGCAGCTCCAGGGCCGGCGCTCCGGCAGGACCACGGCCGTTGCGCCGGCAGCACCACGGCCGGTGCTCTGGTGCCGCTCTAACCACGCCCACCTCTCTGCCCAGGACGGACAGGTGTCCGTGGATGAATTCAAGAGCGCTGTGAAAAACGCCTGCGTGGGGAAACCCTTTGAGGACTTCCCGTCTGCGCTTAAAGCCTTTATCTCGTCCCACTTTAGCACGGTGGATGTCAACGGTAGGCGTCGCGCTGCCCGGCCAGCATCAGCATCCTAGCCCAACTAATTAGCCGTGTGCTCCCCACTCGGTGCCTGTAGCCCGCCTGAGGTCTAGTCTGACCCTGTCAGTCTGGCCCTCTCAGACCGGCCCTCTCAGTCTGCCCTCTCAGTCTGGCCCTCTCAGTCTGGCCCTCTCCGCTGTTGCCATCTGCTTCCAGCTTACCCTACTAGCTCTCCCATACAGCTCTCCCAGCTCACCCTACTAAATAGTCAAGCTCTCCAACCAGTGTCAGCGTGTCGTCTCGCAACAGTACGTCTCCTGCGGTATGCACTCTTTTCTCACCGCTAGGATGTAGTATGCTGCTGAGGGCGAGCAACGCTACCAGTATTTAGTGCAGGCGCACCGCTGCTTTCCCATTACGCGATGTCATTTTACGTCCTCACTCTGAAATACGAAGATTGGCTGGATTTTGACAGGGCCATAACAGATCTGAATATTGGTTCAACGAACTCATTGCTGAACACAACATGCAATCGCGTCTTGGGCAAATTGCATTGAACTAAGACCTTCGGCACTAGCCGATGTGTCAATCAAATGTAAATATAGCCTCAAAGAACGGAACCCATCCAACCCATCCCAGGGACAGCAGTTAATCAATCAGATCGTCGGATGGAGTCACCATTTCCTCAGCGCCCAGCAAATTCTGTTGGCGCCTTTTCATACCCGATTAAAGTATGTATTGCACCCCCATGTCGCAGCGACCTCCACGGCCTGATCACTAGATGCCGCCGGGGTGCGCCTGCCTGCCGGGCGTGGCCGGCGGCGCCGAGCGGGTCCTGTTGACGTTGGCAGCCGACGCCGACCTCCGCCGCCGGCCGAGCCGTGGGGCAGGTCATGGCTGTCCTCAGGCCCGACGGCGGGATGCCAGTCAGCCACTGTTGCCGTCCTGTCACCGCCCGCTGCCGTCCTGTCACACCCCGCTGGCGTCCTGTCACGCCCCGCTGCCGTCCTGTCACTGCCCGCTGCCGTCCTGTCACCGCCCGCTGCCGTCCTGTTACCGCCCGCTGTCGACCTGTCACCGCCCGCTGCCGTCCTGTCACGGCCCGCTGCCGTCCTGTCACTGCCCGCTGCCGTCCTGTCACGCCCCGCTGCCATCCTGTCAGCGCCCCGCTGCCGTCTTGTCACTGCCCGCTGCCGTCCTGTCGCCGCCCGCTGCCGTCCTGTCACGCCCCGCTGCCGTCCTGTCGCGCCCGCTGTCGTCCTGTCACGCCCGCTGCCGTCCTGTCACGCCCCGCTGCCGTCCTGTCACTGCCCGCTGCCGTCCTGTCACGCCCCGCTGCTGTCCTGTCACTGCCCGCTGCCGTCCTGTCACGCCCCGCTGCCGTCCTGTCGCGCCCGCTGTCGTCCTGTCACGCCCGCTGCCGTCCTGTTACCGCCCGCTGTCGACCTGTCACCGCCCTCTGCCGTCCTGTCACCGTCCGCTGCCGTCCTGGCGCCGCCCGCTGCCGTCCTGTCACCGCCCGCTGTCGACCTGTCACCGCCCGCTGCCGTCCTGCCATCGCCTGCCGCCGTTGTGTTCCCCACCCGCTGTTATTTTCTCGCGTCCTGCTGCCACCGCGCCAATGCCCGCTGCCGTTCTGCGCCGCCCGCTGCCGCTATTTTAACGTCAATGGATCTCCCTCCGCTAGCGGGCGGCAGGAGCAGGAGTGGTGCGGTCGCTAGACGGGTCAGCGAATAGCTGACTCCGCAGTATGTAAAGATCGGCGAGTGCTGAAGAGGAAGAAGATGGATCAGATTGGTTGGTTGCATCCGACAGATTAGTCTGACCGCGGGGGAGGACCGATGGGAACATGATCTGCGCGAGGAAAGAACCCATCCTCAACCTGTGACGGGCGGCGGTCAGACAAAGGCGTCAAGACGGCGAGGAGATAACTGCTATTTAGGAGGAGGCGGTCGCAGGGCATGGTGTGCGATGGAAGGCAGCTGGGCCATTGGGCGGTGCTGTACATGGCGCGCAAACGCTCATTCCGCGCAGCGCGCGCCCCGCCGCTGACAGAGCCTCGGGGCTGCGTAGACTGCGCCGCAGTGTTCGGCTGCGCTGCGGGTCGGCCAGCGGTGAGAGCTGGGGCGGCGGTCGAACGTAACGTCACAGACCAGGGTCAGCGTGAGCTGAGGGTGACCCCACAGGGTCGGCGTCAACTGATGGTGACGTCACAGGGCAGGGTCGGCGTGAGCTGAGGGTGGCGGCACAGGGCAGGGTCGGAAGCCGAGGCTGATGTCAAGCCGAGAGCGACGTCAAAGGGCAGCCGCCAAACGTGACGTCACAAGGGGCGTCAGTGTAATCCTGACCGGCATGAGCTCTCTCTCAGGATGGCCAGGTGACACTAGACGAGTTCAAGATGGCCATTCAGGCTACGTGTCTCGAGAGACAGTTCGAAGACCTGCCTGCCGCTGTGCAGTCCTTTGTCAACAAGCTGTTTTCGGCGATCGATTTCAACGGTAACGAACAAACCAAAAATATCTGCACGATTGCATGTAGAACAGCTTAGTCTCAAGCTAGGAGACACAGCTAAGCAATTTCGTGGCCGTGTCGAAAACGTGGAGTCAATGAATGGCTTCAGCCACGCTACGCTTAAAGCTGTTGTAATTGCCGATCATAGAGGTTATATATGGTAGATGCTTTTCAGGTATCCGGAGCCCGCCGCGGACATAGTTTCGTCCTAGAGCAGATTATAGCTTAGGAAGCCTAGCACAAGTTAGATCGTTCTCGCACTCAGAGTTTTACCTCGGCATCGATTAAGAACGATAACTGCTCGAGTGTCAAAGAAATCTGCGCATGTAAGGGATCACAGCTGATCCACCAAACCGAACATGAGTAACGGTCTGGGATAACCGCAGATACAAGAAGAATACCGTCGTGAATACATTGCAATGTGCGTCTCTGCGTTGCCTCGCAGTCCGTATCGATTGCTGCAAAATCCAAAACGTAGGACTGAGTCACAGAGAAGGCCCGAGTGGGGACATGATTCGTGACGAAACGGGAGCCGAAAAAGATTCAGTGAGGCCAAAGTTCAGTCTGCCTTTTCTCATTCAGGCGGAACGATTTGCGTCCATGCAGCACCCAGGTTACTATGGCCACGGGATCAGCGGACCACTGACCGCACTAGCCAACATCTCCAGCATGTGCAAAATTGCAAGAGCAAGTTACATTCTAGATGTTGTCTACGAGTCGTCTCAGGTAGCGAATGGCGGCAAATTACGCGTCAAGTATGGCAGTGCGGCATCACTGTTATGGAACTGTAGCACGTGTCTGGCGAACGGCAGCGCGGGCGCGAGCCGGCCGGCGCGGCCGAGCCTGTTGTTGGCCGATCCGTGGCCGGCGCCGGAGCGTGATTGCCCCACTGCCGGACGGCACCAGGTCAATCAGCCGGACCACCTCCGGGAGTCGCACCGTCATTTACCTCCGGGTCGGCGGCGGTCGCGGCACTGCGGCGGGGGACGCGGGGCGCGCCCTTATGCCGACGAGGGCGGGCAAGCTCACAGCCGAACACCGTCGCAGAGGGGGGGGGGGCCTTTCAGACGTGAGCGCGTCGGTGCTCGAGGCCGACATCGGAGCGGCGGCGGCCGAGACCGGCCCGAGCACGGCGGCGGCGCCCGAGGCCGACATCGGAGCGACGGCGGCCGAGATCGGTCCGAGCACGGCGGCGGCGCCCGAGGCCGGCCCGAGCACGGTGGCCGCGCCCGAGGCCGACATCGGAGCGTCGGCGCCCGAGACCGGTCCGAGCACGGCGGCGGCGCCCCAGACCGGCTCGAGCACTGCGGCGTCGACCGCTCTCGACCACGCCGTCTCGTGTCCGCTCCCGAGCAACTTCGTCAGCCATCCCGTACCGGTGACGGCGCAGGGTGGAGGGAGGGGGCAGGGGGATAGGTGTCGGATGAGCCGTCGCCGGTCGTCGCCCGTCGCGCCTGGCTCTGATTGCTCCTGATGACGCCGTAACTGCGCCGGCGGCCGGCCGGCCCACGCGGCGGCTAAAGTTCAGCGGTATATCCAGCGTCAGCCCAGATGAGTCTGTCAGCCGGCCACGATGAGGCGGCGCCGGCCCGCCCCACCGGCGGCAGGTCAACTTCGCGACGGTCATAAACCGGCCACTTCGATCGGGCTATAACCAGCCGCTGGCCGACGAGCGCGACCGTCTCGCGGCTCGCGCTCCGTCGACACCAGCCGGCCGCCGGCCGCAGAGTCGCCACTTCCGGGTGGCGCGAGGCGTGGGCGCGACACCGCGGCTCGGGGAACGGGAGCCGGCGACGGAAGGTCCCAGATGTCGGCGAAATGCCACCTGTTGAGCGCGGCGTAGGCGGCGGTTGACAGGCAATTTGCTCGAGCCGTGCCCCACGCGCCGGTGAGCCTCTTCACAGCGCACGACTTTACTCGCGAGCACCGTAGAAAGCGAGCCGTGTTTGCATGCCAGCTGAATCCCAGCCGAGAGTAGCAGTGAAAGCACTCTGTCATGTCGTATGCATGCATTCCGTCCCAATATATCGTGAGTGAATGGGCCGACCAGCGGGCTGGCTCGCGACTTGTCAGCGCCAGCGTTGCCGGGCTCGTCCGATGCGGCCCGTTTGAAACTGCCGTCAAATATCGTAGCCGGTCGGCGCCTTTGATGTCGGCCGGCGGCCCGTTTGAAGCCATCGGCGGCGCGTTTGAAGTTGTCCGCGGCCTGCGGCGGCCACGTCCGTCTGATGGTGGACGGGCACTGACTCGGTTACCGATGACCGCAGGCGACGGCCTCATCGGCATCGAGGAGTACAGGGTCGACTGCTGCAGCCGGCAAGCGTACAGCGATCTGAAGGAGCTGGACGAGGGCTACACCAAGCTGTGCAGCGTGAGTAGCAACCTGCCGCGCGCTTTGGCGATCTGCACACCCAGGATGTTCATCTGTGATGAGGAAGCGCGGCACTGTTTTGGTCAGAGCTTGCGTCTGAAGTGAGGATTACAATGTTGCGGTTGCCGTTTACAATGAGCGAACGCGCGTGCCATTTCTGAAAGCGCCAAGCCGAGCAAGGTTTACCTAATTCCCAGCCCGCATTTCATGTCAGACCAATATCCCGACGCTGCGTTATGACGTAACTTATTACCTCTGCGGTGACACGGCGACATATTAAGTGTTCCGTTACACGACACAAAGGCGCCCAACGGTGAGATCCCATTTGCCGCCGCCCCACAAAAATAAATCAATTCCCACCCAACTGTTCCCCGGCCCCTCTTCGTCTTAAAAGCCTTCCGCTGCTCCTCGGACGCGGGCGAGCCTCATCGTCGCGGTGGCCTGGGAGGGCGCCGAGCGCCGTCACTAACGACGGCGTCCCCCGGGGCGTCCGTCGGCTCCGACGATGGCGGCGGCAGGTGAACGCCTCGCTCGCCCGCCGGCGGCCGCCAGCAAATGTCGCGGCGCCCGGCCACTGCGGCTTCAATCAATACGGCGGCGGCGGCGACGGCGGCGGCCACCTGGCCGGCCGGGCGCCGCCGGGCCGGCCGCCTCCCGCCGTGCCGCCCTCGTTCCGCACGTGACCACGGGAGGCCGGGCGGTCTTGTCCGGCTTGGTCGCCGGCTGACCGGCAGGGTGAGGGAGGTGCTCTTCGGGATCAGTCGGCGGCGGGCGGTGGGTAGCGGTCGGGGGTGACGGGGACTTCGGTCGTGCTCATTGTCTGAGAGCTCGGAATAGTCACCGGCAGTGGCTCGGGCTGACCTGGGCGGTCGACTTAGCGCGTCCGCGGCAGCATCACTCGCGAGCGATCGTGATTAGCTTGTTCCATGCTCTCCATTTTCAGACAGAGCGCTGGCCAGGCTGGTGACCTGCTTTTGGACCCGAACCCCTGCGCATGACGCCTGCTCTCCATTTATTGTTAGAAAATATCGGGCACACACAATTATCTCACCTTTTCTGGATTACGATTACCAGAAATCATTTCATTATCGGTAGGCACTCACCCAGTCACACTGGGCCTCAGCGGTGAAGCCCTGGTCTTCCCTTATGCATCCTTTACGAATAGAATGGACTCCTGCCTGCGTGACTGCTGTGAACTGTGATGCTGTTCCCACGCCCATTTGTAGTCACTGTAACCCGTCGTTACCCCACCGTTTTACATCGCCCAATATTTATTATACGCTTTGTCCATAATCTTACCCATCCCCAGTAATTTACCTCTTTTTTCTCCTTTAGAAGATTTGTCATGTCACCTTGCGGGAGGGTATTGTTTCCGAATCGTGGCGGGTCTAAACAGAGTCTAGCTGCATAACTGCGGTGAGCAGATTCCTCCCACGGGTACAGCAGACCACAACCGGTGCTCTCCACGCCTCTCGTCATCGGCAGAGCGGCCTGCGTAACAGACCAGTGCGTGCTTGGGTGTCGTATGAACCAGTCTCGGCTGGCCCTGGGCCAGAACGATCACCATCACTCAGCCGGGCCGACCTCGGCTGGGCGCGCCGGTGGTCGCAGTCCTGGCCCGGGGCCGGTTCCGGTCCCAGCCTCCGGCCTTGGCGATCCTGGCCCGCGGCCTCCTCGACCTTGACCGGTGGCTGCGCCGGCCCCGGCCGGCCGCCGGCTCTGGCTTCGCCCAGCCACGGCGTGGGACGCTGCCTCTGATTGGCTGCGGCCCCGGTCCACGGCGCGCTCCGGCTTTGGCGTGGGCTGGCTCCACTTCCGGCGCATGTCCCACTAATCGGCCGGATGCGTGGCCCGGACGTGATGTGCGCGTGTCGGCCGGCCTCCCCCAAGCGCGGCAGCAGCCTTGGCCGCCGTCCGGCAGCAGGCCGGCCGCGCTCCGTGACCCCTTGACCTGTGCTGCCCCCCCCCCCCTCCCCTCCGCCGGCGCCGGGTGCGGGGCGCCGCGGACACCCGGCGGCGCCTGGCCAGCCGGGGCAGCGCTTTGGCATGCCTGGCCGCTGCCGGCGCCGCCAGTTCCGGTCTGGACCGCGGACGGTGACCCCGTGACCGGTGCTGCCATGCCGCCCGGTCACGGGCGCCGCGGACACCCGGCGGCGCCTGGCCAGCCGGGGGAGCGCGTTGACATGCCCGGCGGCTGCCGGCGCCGCCAGTTTCGGTCTGGACCGCGGACGGTGCCAGGCGGCACGGAGGCCGGACCCCGGCTACTGACGGGTCCCGCTGGCACGCCGTCGCGCCGCCGCCAAAAGAACTCCGCCTGGTGACAAACAGACAGTATTCACTGGCCGGCGCGGCGCCTGGCTAGAGTTTCCGTTATTTTTACGTACACAATGGGGGTTGCAGGCCGGTATTTTTGGCAGCGCTTCAGACCGCATCGTCGGCGGTCCGGCGCCGTGCCACCGTGAGGCCCGCGCGGGCGGGCTTGGGGACCGGCGGCGAGACGGCCGCGTCCCCAGGCGACGAGCAAAGCAGTCGCGGCAAGTTTCTGGAAAATTAGCGAGTCTGGAGCGAGCGGGTGATTTAAGTGCGCTGCCCGAGTGAGGGAGCGGTGAATATACGGGCCGCCGCTGCGGCGACGGGCTCTCATAGCTGAACGCTGACCTTGCGCTCAGCCGGTGTTGCTCAGTCTCGGGAAAGGAGAGCCCAGACTGCTGTCACGTGGTGGATGTCTCACCCGGACCCGGAACCTCCGGCCACGTGATAGGTCAGGCCAATTAGGTACAGAATTGGCTCGTTTGTCGGGTGGTCTGTTCTGCCTTCGCTGTTATTAATGCGGCGCGACTCTAGGCCCGGGAACCTAGTGCTTTGAGCACCCTGCTGATACGGGCTGGTGATAATCGTTCCTCGGGTGAAATGGAATGAGCGCCCCAACCGCCTCGTTCTCCCCAGTCACCAACAGCCCCGTTCTCCCCAGCTACCAACCACCCGTTCTCCCCAGTCACCAGCCGCTCGTTCTCTCCAGTCACAAGCCACCTGTTTTGCCAATCACCAGCTGCCCGTTCTCTAGTCACCAGCCGCCCGTTCTCCCAGTCACCAGCCGCCCGTTCTCTGCCGCAGGACGAGGACAAGAAGAAGGGCGGCATCGACATCAAGCGCTTCCAGGAGCTGTACGCCCAGTTCATCGGCAACCCGGACGAGACGATCGGCGCCGTCTACCTGTTCGGGCCTCTGACGGAGCTGAGCTAAGCCGGCGGCGCGGCCGACGCCCGCCCCCGCCGCCGACTGTGACGAGCCACCCCGAGACCCGCCGCCGGCGCGCGCCCCGAGCGCCGCACACCCGCGCCGCGTCGACGAGGCCCGACGCGCCGGTCACAGCGCGGCTCATGCTGCATTCTAGCTGTTGAGTGTGGTGTGTGTCGCCGGGTTTCGTTGCGTTTTGGGCCGGGGCGCTGTGCCAGGGCAGGGGCCTCCGGCAGCGCCTGCGCGACTGCCAAGCTCTCTCCTCCGTTTCAATCTCACCATTTGTATGTGGCTACATGTGAAAGCAACGTTTCTACCATACTCAGATTAGGCTGGTCGGTTTGCATTTGTCACTGTTGATCATCGATGCCATAGAAATAAATTCCACCCAAAATGGCCTCGTTTCCACGTTTCACACGCTCCGCTTTTTTACTCAAATTTCGTGAAGCTATTCTCCGTGTTTCTACTTTTGACGCCAAAATATGTTCTGCGGGCTCGCACGATGTTGCAACGTAATGGCTTTGCAATGATGTAACTAAACACCAGTAGAAAAGTTAGTTGATCATAGCTCGCCGACGCAGCTGTGGACGACCGGTCCAAGAGAGGCCCGCAAGCTCAAACTTTGTCAAGAGCTGCTGGTTCTGTTCAAATAGGCTCGTGAAGACTATGTATGAGAGGAGTTTTGACAAGTCCGGGGTACCTCTTCTCCCTTCCAATTAAACAGGTTTCATGTCTTGAATAAGAATCAACCATTTGTGTTACGAAAGAGAACAACAAAAAGGTATCGTTAACGAGAACAGCTGGATCCAGTAAAGAAGTTTTCTTCAGACATTATCTACACAAGCTCATTCGTAGATGGGTGAAACTAGGTTAAAATTTGTTGGAAGCTCTTGTTCGGAAATCACCTGGGTTTAATAAACGATTTTTTCCTTATGACTATGCATGACTTTTTACGATATTCATACTTAAGCCTTTGTCATTAATATTGAACTAAACACCGATGCTATTATGTGCATCTTGTAGCTTTTTGTGTAATATTAAGAACAAGAAGCATACAACTTTCCCGACAAGGCCCCCACAACTTGCTCCAAAAAACAAAACAAAAGGAAACTATAAAACCATATCTTAACGTTACAAGTTCATGCGTTTCAAGCATCACTCATAAGGATGACATAAAAGTTGACGGTAAGCATAGAAGTGTAGTAATACAGTCACATATAAATTTATCGATTAATGCATGATGTAATACTATTTTTTTAACGGGGATGTTTCTCATTTGAAGATAGTGGAGCAAGCATCAGATATGGTGAAGCATGCCCACTTATAACTATCGGTAAACTTTGGAAGTGGAAAAGATTGTTTTAGAATGTTCTCTAGGGTAAAGTTTGTTTGAAATTGAATAGATATTGTTTTCTGGACTGTAACAATTTAAATGACGTTATTATGACGTCATAAATGCCAAGGTGACGTTGAAATACTCTCCCCTATATACCTTTCCCGGTTTTCGCGGGCGTGTAGTTCAGAAACTAGAGGGGCTTGTGTCTTCAGAAGCGCACGTTTGTGAATAACGCCGAAAGGTCTTCAAGATGGCTGTTTCAGTTCCGAACCCCATATAAATGTGGAACACTTAACACGCGTCCGGCGGGCCGATTGAATACCCTTTGCTCGGGGGGAATTTCACCCCCTCATATTTCAAAAACTCAGATAACTAGACACCAAATTCACGGAGTAGAGTGGCCTTTATGTGATCTCACCTGTGCAGCACCAAAATCTACCCTCTAAACCGAGCCCTCGAGTAAAAAAACAGATTAGGTTTGTCTTCGTTCTGACATTCATATCTGACCCCAGCTAAACAGAGTTGGTTGTAGTTATAAATCCGATTTGTTTATTGCCGACCAGGGTATCGCAGATGTGTATGGTTTCGTCTAACACTCTGTTGCATCACATTGAATGATTGCAAGGAATGCCTTTTGCTGATGCCACGGCTTGACTTTGACCTGCCACGTAAGGTCAGCGACTTTACGGGCCATGTCTCGTTTTTGCATTAAAATTGCTATCGAATTCACTATAGATATGCAAAGTTTTTGGCGTATTTACACCGCACCGTTCAGAAATTATTCTGAAAAATCTATGGGAGACAGATTTACTCCCCACCCGAGCTCGTGCCAACATCGTGATGTTTTCCTAAATTACCGACCAGGCCCCCGCACCCGGGTGCAAAACCAAAAGGCATGTTCATCACGCATGCCTCTCATATCATTTCGGAGCAATGATAGCCGTGGCACAACCGCCATTCCGTGTGTCATGAACATGTCTGATTGCCGCCGGTGAGGGAGCTGGCTGGACGCCAGCAATAGGCGAGTGAAGCGTCAAACACGGGCGGCGTCACCACGCATATTGCGGGCTGATTGGTATGGCCACGTTCACTGCTCTCGGCAGGCTGTTCGGCACCGCCCCGGAAGACCTTCGATATGGAGTGGGTGACGAACGGAGTCTTGGCTATTGGAGTTCGTAGACTGCCTTAAGTAGTGGGGGGCATAGGAGTGTCTCCTGAGAGGGCCGAGGGTTAAACTTTTTATGGCACGTGTCATTTCCCCACTGCGTCAAAGATTTCATGTTCGGCTTTACTAAGCATGAGGACACAGATGGCATCCCATAGCAGATCTTACCCCTGTATAGAAAAGGTCAGTCCGCGTCTTAGGCACGTCGCTATTGAATCGAAACGAACGCGCCCATCAGTGAGTCGTTATTCAATCTAAACGAACATGCCCATTAGTGAGTCGTTATTCAATCGAAACGAACATGCCCATCAGTGAGTCGTTATTCAGTCGAAACGAACGTGCCCATCAGTGATTGGCTCTGCATCTGCTCCGCTCCTGATCGACCACATAAATATTTGGCTGTCTTTACATTAATTCACAGGTACCAGAAGTGCAAAGTTCTTACTTCTGCGTAGAAAAGTCAGTCGACACTCAAGCCACCTGGTTGTGCGTTTGACACTAACGCTGCGAAGAGTGTTGGGCTTTGCATCTGACCTGACCCGCGCATGGGCGGCCAGACCGATATTCTGGCTATTTTTACATAAATTCGTAGGCGCTAACAATGCAAATTAGATGAAATGAACCGACCTTAAGTGACGGTGAGATACCCACGGTCTTCACCGAGCACGCTGGCCGCCTGGCGCTGCCGAAGTGTCAGCAGTACTCCACTCTTCGGCAGCTCAGCCAGCAGCTCGAGGTCACGTGGGGCACCCAGCCGGTGTTGGGGATGGATGGCTCTGGCTGTTCCGGCCGACACCGGTGGCCCCGGCCGCGTCCTCCGGCCCACTCTGTCGTCTGCCAGGGGGCTGGAGCTCCGCGTGACGAAATGCGGACGATCTTAAGGCGGTTGCGGCGTCCCCGGTGAAGACGCTGTACGCTCTGACCCGCCGTCACTGTCCCAATGAGCTGCCTGAATTGCGGGGCGTGAACTGTCAGTGATGACTGCTGCCTTTCCCGCCTCCCAGCTCTGAGGCGCTCTGTTGCTCATGGCAAGTGATCACGTGACCAAAGTCTGCCACGTCGTCCCGCGGGGATACCAAGCAAGGACGGTGCGTAGCGGTAGCCGTTGTTCGAATGTGGCGGGTCCGAGCCGACGCCCACTCGAACCGGTGTATATGTGGGCGTCATTTTGACAGATTATAGTTCCTAGTGGCCTAATCCTGCCAACAACATTGTCCGGTTGATCTTCCACCAATGCCCTTGCAGAGCCATTCGCCGAAGTTGTCCTGACTCCGACGGCAGCAACCTATGGTTAGAGATGTCCTCTAACTGCAATACACAGTATTAGCAGCGACGCATGTACATGCACGCCAAGTGCTAATAACTCCAACTGTGCCAACTGGCGAACGGTAACATAGGCTTTAACTAACGATGGTATCCAAAACATTCAGTGAACTGATTCTCCGTGATCATCGTGGATTTCGAAGCATGCCATGTCATCACCAGTCAAACCTGCTGTCGAACATGACTGGCCGCATCGTTTGTTGGAATAGCTGGAACCTAGCTCCAATAGCTTTGTGCTGCTACCAGCAAAGGCGGCAGCTTTTATCTGCAGTGTTTTCGACGCGAACTTTAAAGCAGCTCTCGACTTTCCCTTTAAGCCGAACGACAAACACAAAGATTTGGCGGCTTTGAGATGTCTTTCAGACTAAAACTTATTCGACGTCGGAAACAAATTGGTCAGGAAATGTGCGAGGAACATCGCCATCGATCAGGAAAGGTGCGAAGAACAACGTCAACCTGGCTCTTTGTCACCAAACATCGCGCGACGCAAAATTTTCCGCCATAGATTTGGGGCTCTTTCCAATAACATTTGGAATGCCAGGAGAGTGATATCAGACATGGCAGTGCCACACTTACGGCTACACCGATTTTACGAGAATGGCCTCAGGTTGACGTGACAACCTGGCATCACATTAAAAAGCAATGTTTGCTGATGCCTGTGCGGGCTGTATTTCAAGATTTCGTAGCGCACGGACGCAGCAGACAGCTTGAAGCCCGAAGCCGCGCGCAGACACTGAACGGACGATCGCGCTCTGGTCAGAACAGCTGGGTAATGTGACGTCACGACTGGGTGACAGCTGTCCGCCAACGGGGAAGCAGCCATCCAACCAGCGGCATCTAACCGCCATGAGCTGAGCACAGACCCCCCCCCCCCCCCCCCACCGTCTGAGTCACAACGTAATGACATTTGTAGGTAGACACTTGCAAATAGACTGATCGCCTCCCGCTGGGTTCGGTCCAGCATCCAGCTGCGAAATGAGAGCGCGCTGACGCCGCTGCCAGCTGATCCCGCATCGTCGCCTCCGATCAAAGCTCCAGCTGCCAACTGGTCCGCCCTCATTTCTGCGTTTTCGCTTCCTGCGGCGACCAGTCGGACCTCTGGAGGCGCCGTGCGCTGCCCGGCCCGGCGCCGAGAGGCGTGTTTCGGCTAATTGGTCCGCCCGGAGGCGCCACTTCGCTTATTGGGCGGCGCAGGAGTTAGCGGTCAAAGCGAGGCCCACAAGCAGCATGCTGTGCGCCGCTCTTCGC